GGGACTGGGGGGTCCACACCGGTGGACGGTGGCTCTCCTCCTGCGATGGCCTTTCTCCTCCTGCTCCGTTTGGCCGGGACATCAGTCTGTGCCCATTGCTGGCTTCTCCGCCGGGCTGCAGCATCCCCGCGGCGCTGAAAAGCTCCTGCCCAGCTGTGCCCAGCGTATCCAGCCTCCATCAGCCAGAGCCTGGAGCCAAGGGGCCAAGCTCACTCCTGTCCTCCCGCAGGGGCTGGACCGTGGGGCAGATCCTGCTGATACCTTGGATGAAGGGTACCCGGGAAGAGGGTTTGGGGGGGATCTGGACCTGCGTGGATCGTGATGTGAGGAAGGAGAGACACTTTGAAGATCCTCTTGATCCTGCAAAAAGCTGACAGTTTAAATACAGGCATCATTATTCTCCCATCAGGGACCGAAAGGAGCTTGGCTTACGAACGGCTCCTTATTTTTGCGTGTATGAAACTTGTGTTTGAACAGACCCACCATCGCCGCTCGGCGGGGGCCGTTAGTGCCATTAGCCCCAGCACCCACATCCTGGACCCGTTTGCTGCGGCAGACCTTGGTGGTGGGTGGGATTTCCAAAAGCTTTCAGCCTTTCCCGAGCCCGTCTCGCTTTGAAGGCGGCGGGAGGGGTTGTTTGTCTCTTTCGGATTGTTTTTTTTCTCATTAGCTTCAATGGAAAAAGAGCGCAGCCACCACGGAGGGCTTTGGGAAATCACAGCCGATTGTGCTCTGGTTTGAAATGCAGTTGGGTGTTCCCTGCGAAGTCCCCAGGAGCAGAATCTGCTCTTGGCACGTTGGAGCCTGGTGAACAAGCTGGAGGATGGGGAATTAGCTGTAACCGTCGTGCCTCCGTGCTCCATCCCTTTGAACAGCCGGTTGATGTGACAGCGTGGGCACAGACACAGCCCCCGGGCATGTTTGGCTGCAGCTACTGTGACATTTTGTGCAGCTGGTGTGCATGACTCAGAGACCAAAGGGGCGAGAGCTGAAATCCAGAGGTCCTTGAGGACGTGGCAGGGACGGGGTGGAACGGTCACAGCGCTCGGCAGCCAGACTCCTTAGAAACTTTGCCCAAAAGATGCTGTTTGGTCAGCAATGCCAGAGGCTCGGCTGGTGTCCTGGGTTCAGCCCGGTGTAGGAGTGAAGCCTTCGGCATCCTTCAGCAGCGTCTGAGAGGTGCAAATCA